CACACACACACACACACACACACACACACACACACACACACACACAGAAACAGACAGATGGACAGACAGACATGTGAGCACCTGCCCAAGAAGTCAGAGCCCAGAGGAGGGCCTCAGATGTCTTACTCTGCTCTGCCTTATTCCCTTGAAACAGGGTCCCTTACTGGGCAAGACGCCTTGTTTGGCTAGGCTGGTTGGCTGGCCTGTCTCACCTGGGAATGTTGAGGGTACCAGTATAAGCAGCCACACTTAGCTTTTTACATGAGTGCTGGGCATGCTATCTCAGGTCCTCATGCTGTGCAGCAAGCACTCTTAATCAGTAAGCCTTCCCTCAGTTTTTGTTTGGTGGGAACCAAAAAACACACTTCTCAGTATCTGGATTATAAAACAGTCACTTTGAGAATCAAGCCACTGGTTGGTCACCTGTGAAATCTCTTCCTTGGAGGTTCATTCAGCCTTCCACCTGACCATACTTGCTAATTTTTATAGAGGAAACATTTCTCCTTCCTTCCTTCTTTCCTTCCTTCTTTCCTTCCTTCCCCCTTTTTGTCTCTTGGTTTTCTTTTGTTTTTGAGACAAGTTTTGCAGTGTAGCCTTGCTGGCCTTAGACTCACTACTATAGTTCAGGCTGGCCCCGACCTCATGGTGATCCTCCTGCCTCTGCCTCCTGTGTGCTGGGATCACTCAGGCAAGCACCACTATGCCAGCTGAGAATGCTTTTTCTTAGTTCTTGATGCTTCCTTCCAAGTAGACTGACTCCCTGCTAGATAGAGCAATACGGAGTCTCCCTCTTTCTTACTCCTTCACTGGAGAAATGAGTCATCTACTTCTCTGATTAAGTGGCATAAGAGGCCTGTAGCTTTTCCTGTCCCTTTTTGGAAGCAAGCTGCACAAAACTGTGTAATTCTGCTCTGTTTCCAGTCCTAGGGACAGGCAGATTCTGCCACCTGCAGGGGAGGAAGGACACAGGACCTAGCAGAACAAGGCTCAGGAACACAGCAAATCTAAACATCCAAGTGGACACTGTGTTAAGGGCTATCCATTGGCCCAGTGAGTCACCAGTTGGATCTAAGGTCTTTGAAAGTCAGCCCAGAAAAGAATCTTGTTTAGTTACACAATTCATGGTGCTTACAGACTATGTGCACCAATAATCATCAAAATCCTCACAGCTAAGCACAAAGAAAAATTTCCCCAGGATCATTACAAAGGCCAGTCTTGTGGAATACACTACCCAATAATAAGGCACACCCCTTTGCTACTTGTTACTGTTGTTATATATCCTTACAAAAGAAACTTAGGGGAGAAAGGGTTTCTTTTTGATTCTTAGGTCCAGGATATAGCCCATCATGGTGAAGTCAAAGTAGCAAGAGGTCGCATCCTTTGGTCATACTGTATGCACAGTCAGGAAGCAGAGGGAGAGTAATGCCTGGACTCAGCTAGCTTTCTCCTTTGTATGCAGCCTAGAACCCAAGCCTAGGGAATAGTGCCACCATAACTGTCATAAGCCACCAATCAACTGAACTTCAGAGAACTGATTGTTAACACGGTTAAGGAGAGTGACAGCTTACAACTCATATATATCTGTTCCCAATAGTGTTATTTTATCTAACTGTGAAGTGTAGACTCTTAAGTGACCAAAGTGACCAGATTCTTCCATGTCCTTCAGGGATACATCAGTAATATAATACCACATAGTAAGGAGTTAGAGATATGTGCCCTAACAAGCACTTAGAATGCAGTTTCTCAGATTTTGCTAATCCAATAGAGATTTACTAAGGCTCACTAACCGACGCAATGCAGCCAGCTGTGGGTAACAGAAGTATCATTCTGAGAAAGCTAAGGGACCTATCAAGGGCACCCTGGTTTGCTGCCAGAGGCCTTATTCCTACATGAGAGTCAGGCGTGTTAGACAGTGGGCCCTGCTGATGCTGGGCAGGCAGTGGGAGGCATGAGACTGAAATTGAAAATGGCTAACAAGACAGGAACCTTTTACACATGAAGTATGTGAAGTTCAGCATGGTTCTTACGCGCTTTCCCTTGTCAGGCCTCTCAGTGACACTGGTACGAAGACGGAAAGAGACATCAGCAGTAACTGCAGCAGGAGGAGTCACTGGTTCAGGAGTAGCAGTAGTGTCACTTGGAGAAGGAGTGGAAATAATAGCAGCACCAAAGTATTTCTTGTTTATCTTCCTTTTTAGCCTAGGTGACACACTGAGAGAAGCAGAAGGTAGCCTTAGAAAACGTGGAATATCAGTTCCTGGTGTCGAACTCTTGGGCGGATGACTTGAAGGCCGTGGGTAGAAAGTTGACTCTCTTCCCTTGGCTGTTCTCTGCTCAAAAAACAGTCAAGAATAATTATTCTTATTTTTATCCCTTAGATTTGTACCCCACCGCCTGCCCTCCCCTGAGCAGGAGTCCCAGAGGGAGCAGTTTCATTCTCCATGGATGTGCATCTGCCCTTGTTCCTAGTTCCACAGTCCACCCTTGCCTGCCTTGATTAGCAGCTAAGTTGAACGTGCCTCTAACCCATTGTTCTAGGATAAAAACATAGAAACAGACATTCTTTGGCAACACCTGTAAAGATGCAGTCCTTATGAAGCTGGTGAGGTGGCAGTCTGAGGTTTGTGTCAAGGTGGGAAAAGGGAAAGGAAGCAGAAATGGAGGAAGGGAGAAGAAGGAATTTGTGCCCTTGGGTTTTCAGCAGCCTCTCTGAGGGATGGCTGGCTTGCGGGTTCCACTGTTCAGTTTCGTCCTCCCCTTCCTACTTTCCTCATTTTCTATTCTTAAAGACTTCTTTTAATTGTGTGTGTGTGTGTGTGTGTGTGTGTGTGTGTGTGTGTGAATGCTGATATCCTGAGAGTTTGGAAGAAGATACTGCATCCTCTGACGCTAGAGTTTGAGGTGGTTGTGTGCTAGGAACCAGGCTCTTCCACAAGAGCATTGACTACTCTTGATATCAAGCACCTTCTTTTTAAAAAATTACTTTTTAATTTAGAATTTTCTATTCATTTTACATACCAGCCACAGTTCCCTCTCCCTACCCTCCTCCTGTCCCTCCCCCATCTCCCTCGGGATCCCCTATCATCTGCTCACAAAGGGCAAGGTGTCCCATAGGGAGCCAACAAAGCCTGGCACATCAAGTTGAGGCAGGACCAAGCCCCTCCCACTTCATCAAGTCTGAACAAGGCATTGCACCTTAAGGAATGGGCTCCAAAAGCCAGCTCATGAACCAGGGATAGATTACTGGTTCCACTGCCAGGAGCCCCACAAACAGACCAAACCACACAACTGTCATCCACATGTAGAGGGTCCTAGTTCAGTCCCATGCAGGTTCCTCAGCTGTTAGTTCAGAGTCTGTCAGCTCCCATGACCTCGGGTCAGCTGTCTCTGTGGGTGTCCCCATCATGTGTCGTGAGTCATAATCCTGACCTCCCTTGTTCATACAATCCCTTCCCCCCCATCTGACTGGACTCCTAGAGTTTGGCCCAGCAAGCACTTTCTTTTAAACTAATATATGAGAAAGCAATGGCATGCATAGATTCTTGAATGAAGAGTCATAGCATAGCAGTAGAGATAGACAGATGATGATAGAGTCCATACAACCTTGGCAGTTATACTGGCATACTTTCTTCTTACTTCTATGTCTTCTTTCTGTTTATTGACCTGTAAAAACCAAGGGCCGTACCATCTGTTATCTTTTGCAAAGATTAAAAAGGAGACACCACTACAAAACATCTCAAACAGATTATATGCTGAATGTTAATTAGAAAACAAACTTGTACCTAAGAAAAAGGCCCTTAAAATAAAAACAAAAATACATATAAGTGTGACTATTGTTAGCATTTGTTTGCTGCTTTTATGTATAATAGATTATATAGATTCTTGTGTTGTTTGCTTATGAACTGATATTTTGATATGTTATTATATTATTATACTTATAATTAAAAACACACAAGATAGTTTAACAGCTAAATTTCAACAATATAAAAAAACAAAATTTTACTTTAAAAGTTAATACTGATTTCCAGGCATAAAAACAATTCTATGAAATATTCTACTAACGCATGCTTCAATAACACTAAGATTTGTTTAATATGAATTTATAAGTAATGCCAATGATTGTAATTATGTCCAAACTTATTTGATGGGAAATACATGTGACCATTCGTCACATCACATCTGAAACCTCCTTACTTTAAGCATTGATCAGAACTCACTAGAAATGTGTCTTATAATGTCTTGCTATCTGAGAGGATAGTCACTGATGCCTATGAAGGCCTCTATATCAAGTAGTATCAGTGGGTGTGAAGTTAAACCTAATATTATAGTTAAGCCCGATTGCAACAGTTTAAAAAATGTTTTCTCCATAATATTCAACAAAAAGATAAAATCATCAGCATTTAGAAAGCTTATGGTTATCTCCCCGACTCCGGGGTATATAAAAGCTTTTAAATATGCCAAAATAGAACAGAAATTTATAAACTGGGCTTTAAAACGTTCAGTCATCTGGGGTTTGGAGAGATGACTCAGTGGTTTGAGCACTGAGGACCTTCCAGAGGACCTGGGTTCAATTCCCAGCACCCACATAGCAGCTTACAACAGTAACTACAGTTGAAGGGACATGACACCCTTACACAGGCAAAACACTAATGCAGATTTAAAAAAAAAAAGTTTAGTCATCAAACACATTATTGGTTCCCAGTACCCATATTAGTGGCTCAACACTGCCTGCAACTGCAGCTCCAGAAAGCTCCAGCACCCTCTTCTGGCCTCCTTGGGCACCTGCACCCATGTGTACTCTCTCAAACTAAAAATACTAAAAAGTTTAAATAAATCTTTTTTTAAATGAACAGAAGAAGTACAGCTGGGTAGAAGATATCTATAACTGTATATTAGAAAAGATTGCCATTTAGGAAACAGTTTATAGGTTGTGTTGCAATTACATGCTTGGTTTTGTTTATCAACTATCAGATTGTGCATGGTTATTCAGGTTGCAAACATTTCCTCACCAATGATTAATTCAGTACTTTAAAATGGACAGCTGTGGGCTGGAGAGATGGCTCATCGGTTAAGAGCACTCCAGAGGACCTGGGTTCAATTCCCAGCACCCACATGGCAGCTCACAACTGTCTGTAACTCCAAGATCTGACATCCTCACACAGACATACATGCAGGCAAAACACCAATGTACATAAAAATAAGAATAAATAAATTTAAAGAAAAACAAGCAAAAATATGGGAAACTTAAAATGGACAGTTATTTTGAAATAATTGGAGACCCATATGCAACTGCAATAAATAAATGTAAGATATTCTGATATGTTTTACCTAATTTCCTCAATGGAAACATTTTGCGAAGTATAGCTAGTATAATATATCCCTACCAGAAATTTTAAATGAACACAGTGGAGTTAGGCATCATTGTCCCTTGTCTGATCTGAAGATATGGCAAAGCCAAATGCTTTTTATAGCTGCACCAACCTACCTAATTGAGCTTCTCCCCCTCATCTTTAACACTGGCAAATACTATTATAGTTTGTACCCAAGTTCTAAATTGTATCTTTCAAAATATTATAAAAATGGAATAGTGCAAAGGATGTGTGCATGTTACCCTAGTGGCCCTGCCTTTCCATCTAGCAGGATTCTCTTGAGGTTAGTCCAAGTTTATTTCTATTCTTTGTGAAATTGTACTGTGTGATACAGAGAACTCATAGTTCAATCATTCAACTGTTAAGAATGTATGGGATGCTTCCAACTCTTAACTACTATGAGTAAAGTTAATGAATATTTTTGTGCATGAATACAAGTGTTCATTTTGCTCTATGGAAAAATCCATGGGTTTGATTGCTGGATGGTATAATTACATTTAGTTTTTAAGAAATAGCCAAACTTTCCCCTTATGTTATCTAGTTTTCCTTCATTCTTGCCAATTTATCTACAGTTATTGCTATTTTCCTTTCTTTTTTAAAAACAAACAATTTAATAGGATTATAGTTGTATCTTCCTGTGCCTTTAGTGTGGCATTCCCTCCTGATTAATAAAGTTGGGCATCTTTTCCTTCAAGGGAATATCTGCTTATGTCTTTTGGCTATTTTCTAATTGGATTACTACTATGTTTTGAGAAGTCTTTATGTATTCTAGATAGTACACCTTGGGAAGATATATGGTTTGAGAATACTTTCTCTTTCAAATGTATAAGAGCCCAGATATCTCAGTAGGTAGAACATCAGTTTGTCTTCTCATGTGCTTCACATGTGCTTTCATGGAGCAAAAGCTTCTAATTGCACTGACCTGGACTTGAAGATTTGTGCTCCTGGAAAGTTGTATTTTGAAGTAATACCAATACCAATGTGGTATTAGGGTAGAGACTTTGAGAGGATATTAATATATTATATAATGAAGAGGATTTATTAGAATGGCTTACAGGCTGTGATCCAGTTAGTCTAACAATGGCTATCTATCAATGGAAGATTCAAGAATACAGTAATTGCTCAGTCTACCAGATTGGATGCCTTAGCTGGTCTTCAGAATATGCCAGAATCCTGAAGAAGTAGGCTCTAATGCCAACGAAAAAATGTACTTGCCAGTGAGAGCTAGAGCAAGCAGGCAAAGACAGCAAGCTTCCTTCTTCCATGTCCTTTATATAGACTGCCAGCAGAAGATGTGTCCCAAATAAAGGTGGATCTTCCCACCTCCAGATTAAAAATGGATCTTCCAACCTCCAATGATTTAATTAAGAAAAAAATCCCTCAGGTGTACCCAGACACTTGTGTTTTAGTTAATTCCATATGTAGTTAAATTGACAACCAAGAATAGCCATCACAATTGTTTTGTAAAAGTTGAACTATCTTACACACTACAAATAAAACTTATTTAACCGCAACTCATAATTCTTTTTATATGCAACAAATTTCCATTTACTAGTATTTGTTACTGTCTCTATTTAGATTTGCTATCATGGGTTAACTAGTCTCATAAATTCATTGGGAAGTGATATTTTCTTTCCCAGGATGCATTGTGAGAAGCTACAAATGTTTCATAGAAATTTCTGGAGTTTTCTCCTCACAGGAATTGCTTCAGGTTTTGTGGGTGGCGGCTTGTTTTGTTATTGATGTTGGTTTTCTTTTATTTTGTTTTTTGAAGCAATGTTTCACTGTGTAACTCTGGCTGGATAGCTAGTCTGGAACATTCTGTGTAGACCAGAATGGACTCAAGTTCATAGAAAACTGCCTGCCATGACCTCCCAAATTGCCTCAGTTCTTAACATTGAGAAATCTATGAAAATTGAATTGTTTGTTGTTGTTTTCTTGATTGTGTTTCAAAAAGAAACTTAGTTCTTTAAGAATTTATTACAATGTATTTTGATCATATTCACCCTCCTCCCCTTTTCTGTCCACCCAACTTTTTGCCTCCCTTTTTTCTCCACCTATCAAGTCCAATTTGTGCTGCCCATATTTTCTTGGGCTTTCCACTGGAGCATGGTTGACTTACCAGGGGCTACATTCTTAAAGGTAATGGACTCTTCCTCTTCTAGTAGCTCACCTCCTCACCTCTGCGTAGGACTTCATGTCTACCTGCCCTTTCCATGCTGAGAGTTGGTTTGATTCAGGTTGCACTGGGCGTCTGTATGCTCTCACAATCACTATGAGTGCACATGTACAGTGGCCTGGTTGTTGACTAGTCTGGAGGACACTGTTTCCTTTTCATCCACTGCCTCTGTCTCTTATACTGTCTGACCCCTCTTTTGCAATGCCTCCTGAGCCTTGGGAGGATGGGATGTGATACAGGTGTCCTGTTATCTTGAAGGCTGAACTTCCTATATTACATCTCATTTCATCATCACTTTGGAGTTTCACCCATCTCTTTATACATGTGTTAGTCTTGGTGGAGATTTATCAATTGCATTGATTTCTTTCAAAGACTCATCTCTTTGTCGATTGACTTCTGTTATTTTTCTATTTTCAGTTTTAACGATCTCTGCTATGATCTTTATTATTTCCTTTTTGTTGATTTGAGTCTATTTTGCTCTTTTTTGAATTTCTTGGGGTAGGCAGATAATTGCATTCTAACTTCTTTGTTCTCTTAGTGCTATATTCCCTTCAGCACTGCTTTATCTATATATTACATATTTGGAATGTCTTACTTTTCATTCCTTTTTCAAACATTTACATCAATTCATGAATTGTTTGGAAATGTGTTGTTTAATGGCCAAGTGTTTGGAGATTGTCTTCTTTTCTTTTGGTTGCTAGATTAGACTCATTATGACTATAGACCATGTTATTTTGAACACATTCAGGTTTATGTTATGATTCTTAATGCCATAGGCTCTTGAGAAAATATGTATTCTGTTGTAGTTACACAGTCTCTTCTATAGAACAATTAAACCTCTGATAGCTTGTATATTGCATGACTTGGCTCAGCTATATTCATGGTTATTTCTTCTATTAGTTCAACCATATGCTGAGAGTCCCAGCCATATTTAGATTTATCTATTTGTTCGCTCAGCACTTCAGTTCCATCGACACCTGCTCCTTATGGGTGATGCTGTCTTATACCTCATATGCATCTTGGATCGTGTGTCCTTTTGACAGATTGATACATTTTTAATCACTTTCCTTTATAGTAATTCATTTTTCTCTTAGTCTACTTTGTCTGATAAGGTC